TAATTGAATTGCAACGGTAAAATCACACACTTTAAACTAAGAGACGAAGGATCCTATGAAAGGCGTTTAAGTAATGTACTTGTCATGCTTTGTTTATTGAGAGAACCGTAAGAGCCAACCATCTGCATATATGAAACCATTTCTTATTTCTTTTTCTTCTTAACAGTATACACACTAACAAGTGAGAAAGGAACTCAAAGCAACCATGGACTTCACAGCAGCAACAGATGGTAAGCAATTAGAATGTAAACACTTTATATATTAGTTTTATATATATAGTGACTACTAAATTAGCTAGGCGGTGTTGATGGATGCCTAGATTAGTCCCTCGGCACCTGTAGTTTTTCTCTATATATTTCCTTTTTTTTTTCTTTTATTATTTTTTGGTATTTATGAATATATTAGATTCTGGATATTCTTTACATTCGACTGTATTATTTAACACATTTCATAAATAAATTTGTGAATATTTTTATTACTCAGCCTGGGTTCTACTTAAGTTCTTTAAATGCTATTTCCCAACTCGTTGTCCATACGAATTTTATGACACACATATATTGTTTGTTTTCATAATATGCATGTTTTGGTTTGAATTTATTTAATTTGTGTTACTTACAGCCACGGTCATTATGGAAACGAGAGAGGCTTCACCTGCTCATTTGTTGATCAAAATCAAATCATTTTCCTTGTTTGAGAAGCACGGTATCAAGAAATTCAAGACGAGTGAGTTTGAGTCTGGGGGATACAAGTGGTATGTGACCCTTGCTCGTGTTATAAAGCACAATAAATAAATAAAAAAATAAAATAAAAATATAAAACTAGTAATTTACTTCAAAGAAAATATTTATTTCATTCGTCACGCACTTTGAAAATTTTACGATGCACTTGTCGCATAATGAATCCACGAAATGATGAAAATATGACAAGACTTCTAATTCTCTTGCGCAGGAAGCTTAAGATTTACCCAAATGGGAGAGATAGAGACGAAGGGTACGTGTCGTTGTACTTGGCCATTGTGGATGATGGCTTGCCTGCAGGCTGGGAGGTGAATGCCGTCTTCACAATCTGCTTGTTTAATCAGATTTCCTGCAATTATCGCTATTCACTGGGTAAATTAATTTTATAGTACTCAACTGCATTTGGTGTGGAAATTTAGATATGTTCGTGTAGGTGTTTTTTTAAATTAGATAGTGATATCAGGAATAATTACAAGGGTAAGGTCTGCGTACAACTGACCCCTCAGACCCCAACCTGTTTGGGAATATACTGGGTATGTTGATGTTGATGATGTTGAAGTGATATCAGGAATAAGTCGGCGTTTTCTTGCAATGAAGAGAGAATGGGGCTTCTCCAAGTTCATCTCCAAGAAAGAACTTAACGATCCTCAGAATGGATACCTCAGCCACGATGACAATTGTGTGTTTGGTGCTGAAGTTTTTGTGAAAGAAAATAAAGCAGTGATTGATTGTCTGTCTTTGAAGAATGTTGTTGATGCTCCCTTCAAGAAAGAATGGAACATTCCCAACTTTTCTACATTGGGGAGTGAATGGTATTCACCGAAGTTCTCTGGAGGAGGCTATGAATGGTACATATTTTATTTATCTTCCGGGCTTCTATTCACATATATATGTATTTTTTAGCAGACATAAAGTATTTTTGTGCAGGATTATTGAGTTGCATACAAATGGATATGGAGAAGATAGCGGACGCTTCTTATCTCTATTCATAAACTATATGCCCAAGAATGGTAACAATGAACGTTTGCACACGTTCTTTACACTGCGCATGAAGAATCAGCTTAGCAATGAACACCATGAAAGAGTTTGTAAGTCATGATAATCACTTGAAATATCCTTTTCTTATTTTATGCAAATTGATTACAATAGGAACATCTTGTGTTGTAGATTCTCACTGGTTTTCAGCTGCTGAAGAGGTTAACTGGGGATTACCTTCATTTATTGAGCTTGATGTGTTGAATGATCCTAATAAAGGCTTCATCGTCAACGACTGCTGTATTATAGAAGTAGAGATATCTGTGCAAGCTATAGCAAGCTCAGTCTGACTTGTCTATCAACTTTCAAACCAGACCAAAGTTTTTTTTAAACATGTTTTTTTTTTTCACTGTTATTTTAAGTATGGATGAGATTTTTATTTGACTGGATTTGGCATTGATTTATATATAGTTCTTGTTATAAAATACGGGGAATATAAAGAACACAATGTATAAAAACCGGATCAAAATTTCAGAAGGCTATTCTTTCTTCCTCACTTTTCCTTCACTTTTCGGTACAAAATTTACATTATAACACTTGCCCTTTTATAGCTGAAAATGGGCACACATCCCAACATACATATTAATAATATAATCTTTAGATTCAAAATAATAATTTTTTAATAGTGGTAAATTACACCACTTGT